CATGTGCCTGTAGAACAAAACAGCAACATGCAAGGACATAACATGACTACACATGGACTGCTCAAGAAGGGTAGCTTTTAGCAGTAACAGTTACTGTAAGGGGGAATGACCCAACTTAAAGCCTTGCTGATCTAATGTTGGTGTTTGCGGTCGCGCGCCTTTGGCAGGAGGTCATTCATTTGTATCAAGGAGATGCGATTAAGGAGTGTGTCTTTTAGCTCTTGATCAGTGTAACGCACTGTGACGTGATCTCCGTGGTTTCAATTTTAAACCAATTTCTTCGGAGGCGTGCAAGATCACATTTTCGGCGACCACCAGTCATATGTAAGGAAACAAATGCAGATCGGAAGGAACAGTTGCAAGCGCTCACAGTCGTGGAACCAACACCGACTTCTTCCCTGAAAAGCCTTGTCACTTTGGCCAATCCCAGGGACGCGCTAGGCAAGGGATATGCGGTTACTGACACTGGTTGAAAGGCATAGCCAGTATGCCCCTACGCCAGACCTCTTCAGACTGCACTGATGCCCCCCAGAACAGGATGGCTGTTCTTGATTCTTGAGGCTTGATTTTAGCAGTTTGTTGGCGGATGCACCATGGATCAGCTTGTGTTCCGCACGGCTCGCAGCTTGCAAGCGGCTGCTGAGACATGCTGACTGTGCCGATGCAGCAGGTACTCAATCGTGCATGACTCGCCTGGGTACGGCAAGAGCACCTCATCCAGGTGGAGCGAAGATGAGCTATTGTCATGTTTTTCGTGCTGCATGAGGCAATGTCCGACAACATGTGACATGACCCCAAATCAGCAACAGTCAATCACAAGCCCTGTAAGAAGATGCTGGATGCCAGTCCCGTTCAGGCTTCCCCGTGCCAACTTCTTGCCGTGCAATACGTTTGGTGCTCAGCCTATGCCATGCTGCTTTCCTTGGGCCTCCCAAGGTGGTCTGTGACATGAGCCATAATCTAAACTCCTTACAAGGGGTTATATAGGGGTTGATATAGGGGAGTATTTTAGGGGTCAGTTATGGGGGATACTAGGAGTTTAGACTAGATGGTGCGCAGGCAACAAGCGGTATCTGCATAGTTGACAAGCCCAGGACGGCGGCCATCCCGATCGAAAATGACAACTTTGTCGGGAAGGTGCTTCTGTTGTACCGGCCGACGGAGGGGCGGGATTCTCGGAGGCTTGCTTCCCCATTACTATTATGATTACTTTTACTACTACTATATGATTTCTGTTACTTCCCTTATAATACTATTATTCGGGTTTAAGGACCGGCAGTATTTTCTCAAAAAGTTTTGGGTTCACAGTATGCAGGCCTTTTTTCAACATATGCGTCGGCTTCAGGTGGACATCTTTCTCGTGTTTTCTTGCTCTGATTTTCTTGGGGGCTTCCTGGAAGCTTCCAACAAATTTGTTTTACAGAGTTAGGGTAGACGTGCCAAAATATTCGGGCTTCAGATCCCAGGTACTATCACCTGAATGGTTTTGATACCTGTTGGAGCCTCTTCGGAGGCCTCAACAAATTGCCAACATACAGGATTTATGGTGTAATGGAGAATCAAGAAACTAACATGGAAATTGTGCCTGGTAGTCGTAGGTGATTTTTTTATTGAGGGTCGGGATAATATATTAAAAGACAAGCCCTACACCCCGAAACCCTATAACCCACTGAACATGTTCAACTTTTCAGCAAGAAAACAGGGCTGGCAAATGGGGAAATGATACAGGTCCCTATACCTATTGTTGCAGTACGCTTCCGCATGTAGATTTATCCCTTTTTTGGGACACTAACTCAGGCACGCACGTGGTGCCTGGTGGTTGAGCTCACTACCCCGCCCCCGCACAAACATGGTCCGAATGACACTAAACCCTAAACATCAGGCTGGTGGTTGCATCAAACCTCAGTACTCGCTCTGTAGTATCCCTGAACCCTAAACCTGCCATGGTTGCGTCAAACCTCCCTTCTGCTTATGTGAGCTATAGTCTAAACCCCTTAAAGAGGGGCTATGTAGGGGATTATGGAGGGGGTTATTGAACGGTCTGCTAGAGGAATACTAGGAGTTTAGACTATAGCTCATGTGGTGTGCCCCACCCTCTCTTGCGAATATCATCACGCTTTGTAGTTGCATTAGTCTTCCCTTCCCTGTTGTCTTCAAGTGCTGAAGACCTTGCTAGCTTTCGTTGGCGTCGGCTTGCCCCTCAAGTATTGGTGACAGTTGTGATGACACTCAACAGCAGTAACAGCATGTGTTAATGAAACTGCTGATCCAGCCAGGTGCAGTACAAGACCGCCGTCACCACTTCGGTGGCTCAAGTGCGCATGAGAGTCCAGTCAGCGGTGTGACGGAAAAGCGTTCAGCTCATTTGTCTGCAGACATGCTACATATGTGTTCTACCATCATGCATCCAGCATTCAGAGAGATCGTCAGGGTGATGCACCTTACATGCATTCACGTAGTCTTAGTGCTGCGTACGGTTGCCTGCCAATTGACATGGCAGCGGAGCCGGTTCGCTCCCTTTGAACCTTTCACGATCCAGGGCGGCCGGCGACTGCAGAACGACGACTACGACATGGAGCAGAAGGACGACGATAAAAGAGTTCCCTCCTTTGATGGGCGTTTGGATCAATACCGTGATTATCGCAAAAGAGCTTTGTTGTACTTCCATGGCTTGGAGGATAGCAAGCAGTCCTTGGCAGCGCCTCGCCTGATTGCTAACCTGTCAGGCTCGGCCTTTGAGTGTTTCCGTGAGAAGGACCCGGGAGCATATCGCAATGAGTCCGGGGTGATCAACATGCTTGCATTGCTTGACGCACGGCTTCAGTTTACGCCCGAACAAGAACTGTCCGATTGGCTTGAGAACCTTCTGTATCGGATGCGACGACGACGCGGTGAAGAGACCACTGCCTTTACAACTCGTTTCGAGACGACGATTTTCAAGGTGGAAGATCTGATTTCGACAGAGCAGCGGTTGGAAAGACGTCGGCTTCAGGACCAACGCCGAGCCGAGTACCGGCGTCAGTCTCTTGATTACATGGTGGCCAAGCAGGCGCACGATGCAGCGTTGGCAGCCTTGCAGGAGGGGCAGACCGCCCCAGTGGCGCCAGCACCTCCTTCAGAGTTGCCTGCTGTGGAGCCTTTTGCCTTCCCTGAGGTGGTCAAGGGCTTCTTGTACTTGAGACATGTTGGCATCACGTTACAGACAAGAGCCATCTTGCTGCGTTCATCAGGCGGATCATTGAGGTATGATCGTGTGGCAGAGCTTCTTCGGAAAACGGAGTTAGATGCCATGGTGGCCTCACGGACGTCTGCAGTTAATGAGAGCAGCTTCCTGGCGGATATCCAAGAGGATGGTGACGATGACGACGAAGATGACGAGGAGTGGTCCGATGACGAGGACTACGACGACGACGACTTTGGTGGCTTCGCGGAAGATGAAGAGACCGATGAGGGTGACGATGAAGGGGACCTTGGCGAGCCGGACGAGGAGTACGACACAGCTATGCTTGGCTACTTGGAAGCCCGGCAGAAGCTTCTGGCCTTGAGGAAGTCACGGGGCTTCAAGGAGCCTGATGGTCAGAGTTCCAAGCAGTCCGGTCAAACCAAGCCAAGGGCACCTGGTCATCGTGATCTCCATCGTGAAGGTCGGGGACGACCATCGTCTTCCACGGGGCGATCGAGAGATTTCCAATGGAAGGAGAAGAGATCTACATCTTCACAAGGACGTCCTCGCCAGAAGACACCACCTCCTGGCAAGGACCGACGCTCCAAGGGCAAGGGCAAGAGCAAGAGCAAGGGACATGGCAAGCGACAGGGCACTCGAAGAGAGCCAGCTGGCGCTCAGTACCTTGGTATGGCGACGGCGAGTTCCTCAGCTATGTTGAGTTCGCATGGCGCCAGCCCTATGCCTCGATCCTTCGATTTCCAGCCTCAGTTTGATTTCATGGCCTATCATGTGGGTGACAGACCAGAGAGGGAGTTCAGCTTCGGAACGCACAATGTGCCGACCTCAGTGGAGAGTATGGTAGATGAATGCCTTTTGCAGGATGACATTCTTGGGCTGAGTTCACTTGTGAGTTCCCGAGCTGAATCTTGCTGTTTGGTCACCCCACCTGGACATGCAATTCTTGATACCGGTTGCACCTCAACTCTTGTAGGATCAGAAAATGAGAAGCGGTGGAGTGATGAACTTCGCGGGATTTCAGGCGGAACACTTTCCCCGGAACGTGGCCATTCTGAGACCCGGTTTGAAGGTATTAATGGGGAATCTAAGGCAAGCTGTACAGTTAAGTACCCCGTAAGGATTGGGTCTCAGGATGGCTATGTTCAAGCCTCAGTGATACCAGGTAAGGCCCCATTCTTGCTCTCGATTCAGGCGCTTCGCCAGATGAAAGCTAAGCTAGATTGTGAGCGTGATGTCCTAGAGATCCCCGGGATTGGCAATGTAAAGCTGACGACAAATCAAGTGGGGCATTACCTGTTGCCGCTGTTCCAGTTTGGGTACCATACTGCTGAGGATCCCAGTTTTGCAACGGAAGGGGAGTACGAGGATCTGACCAGGCCACCGGGTCTAGGGGATGCCATTCCTTCCGAAGTTCAGGATAAGGGGCCGGGGGCCGTAGGATCGAAGGTTAATGAAGCCCCTCTTCCCGAGAAGACTGGAAGTCCTCAAGCAGTTGATGTTCCCCATTTCGAATCTGTCCTCACACGAAGCGAGAACCAAGCAAGAGCAACTTTTCTACGACTAGCTAAGGAAACAAGTGGACCTTGGGTTCTCCTTCCTAAGGAATTGAATGCTGTTTATTCCATCCTCGGACCCCATGCCTTTGACAAGCAGAACCGCCCCTGGCAGGTGAGAGCCGCGCAGATAGGTTATCGGGCTAGGGTCGTGAGACGACCGCCTTCCGCATTGAGCCAGCAAGAGGTCTGGACTTCTGTAATCTCCTTGAGTAGCAAAGGTAGAGCTTTGCGAACTGTGATGGAGTGGACACCTTGCCATGCGTGTTGCGGAAAGGCCCTCGATAATCCAGATAGCGAGGCTCACATGTTCCTGTTTGTGTTTGCATTTGCGCAACAGTTGATGCGTCTAGGATACCACCATGTCCTGACATGAACATGACTGCCAGAGTGCCAGAGGGTCCGAGGGATGTCAAGACGGTCTTTGCATTGCTGAATGGTAAGAATGTCGAGTTTGAGGGTGCCCGTGTGCGTAGCTTCCAGTTGCCCCCCAAATCTAGCGGTTTATCTGTGTCTCAGTTAGCTAAGCGTTCTACCTACTGTGCAATGCATGGAGACCTTCTTGAGGAGTATTATTTCAATCAACCACCAGCGAATGTGATGTGTCAGCAGGCACTTGTTGCAAATCAACATGTTGGCCGTTGTTTGATCGATCAAGTGGTTCCAGAGCCTGAGCATTGTGCCATCAGTGAGTGTGACGAGTACCATAGCTGCTCCGAAGGCGAGGATGGCGACTGGGTTCTTCCGTGGCAAGTGTGTGCATCAGGCAGCTCCAGAGGGCTCAACGCCACCCACGTACTCCCATTGCGGGAGTCAGCGTCTGGAAAGATTCGCGAACAAGCACTTCATCACGTATCATTGCAGTGCCTGTCGGAGCTGCAGACAATGCAAGGGGAAGGTTCTTCAGATCAGCGTTCAGACCAATCAGGTTACTTACTTCCCGCTGAAGGATTGCCCGAGGACATGCCTTCCGGCTCCACCTCAGCTACGAGACGGAGACCTGGTTCAGGACGCTGGCGCCCCAGATCACATCATCGACAAGGTGGGCAACATCCCGTATCCGTTGAACGTTCGGAAGGTCATGACTGGTGTGCCCCCGCCAGAGGTTCCTCATCAGGCGGGGGTACCAAGTGGTACAGGATTGACACACTGCCGGCAATCCGCCAGCGACAACAACATCGCAAGGCCCCATGAGTACGGCTGCCGTGGCGCAGGTTTATCCCGCTGCCGTGGCGCCAACATCTGTGGCACCTTCTCCGCAAGTCAGTGCTGTGATCAACACCTCACCATCGAATCCTCCGAGGACAAGTGCTGTGATCAACCTCACATCGCCGAGCCCATCAACAACAACCCCCAGTGTGGCCGAGAACCCGGTTCCTCCGATCGCCGAACGCTTGGCACCACTGGAGAAGGGGCCAGACACGGCAATGCTAACTCCGGAGGTACTGGCCGAGATCGCACGCCTGGAGATGGAAGCAAGTGTTCTCTTGACGAGGGCAGCTCAGCTTCGAGCAGGCACCGCTACCCTGCGTCCGACAGCTTCAACAAGGGCAACTTCGTCGGCCAGGGTACCCTACGATCCAGATGGTCCCGATGGATGGGAGTTTGCGGCATTGCTGTGATGACGGCGCATATGGCTCAGGAAACTTTGTTGCCTCCACCAATCACATCAGATGGCAGGGATACGGATTTAAGCTTAGGGGATGTTAAGGGTTGGCCTAGGGTTTCCCCAGAAGTAGATGTACCCCCTAGGCGTGATGATAGTTTGGACCTGCCAGAGTGTTGGAAGGCGACTAAGGTGGATTTTTCTCGAAGGGCCACCAGGCCTGAGCTGCGAAGATGGCTTGGCCCACAGGGTTGGAAGATTGATAGGGGTATAGAGGTAGGTTTGGTTGAGGTATATGCAGGGAAAACAAACCTTAGCCAATGCTTCGAGGATGATGGATATGGTGAAGCCATCAGGCTTGGACTTGCGTGGGGCCAGCAACTACGCGGAAGGGAGGCGAGGTGGTATCTTAAGTCGCTTCTAGATATTTGCAAGCCTAGGGATGTATTCGTGTCTTTCCCCTGCAAAGCACATTGCTCCTGGAGTAGGTTTAATGCAAGGAGGAGCTTAGCGACTAGGCAGAAGATACTTCAGGATCGTCTCCTGAGCCGCGATGATCTTGACTTGCTGTTTGAAGTGATCGAATGCCAGAGCACAGGTCACAGACATGTCCATGCCGAGAACCCCAGGACCAGTTCCGCGTGGCAAGATGCGAGGTTTAACCAATTGACCATGGCTCACGGCTTCGTTCACTTTGATCAGTGTGTGCTTGGTCTTTCCCATCCAGCCAATGGAAAACCGTTGAGAAAACCTACCACAATCTTCTCAACTCGTAAGAGTATGCTAGAGCATATGTGTCAGTTCCAGTGTAATCATGAGGGCGGTCAGCATGGTCGCATTGAAGGGACGTATCAAGGGAGAACGGTTTCATCTTGGGCTGAGGACTATGAGCCAGACCTGTGTCGTGCCTTGATAAAGGGTTTTAATATTAGGGCTAGTGCATTTCTTGCAGCCAACGAAGACACAGGTGTGGACGATCAATTCGACATGCCACATTTTGATGAGCAGTGCGAGCAAGTGTTGAGACAATCAAGTAACAAGTGTTTTGCATTGCATGGTAATGTTGTGGAAAATGCGTTCCCAGCTGAATCCGATAATCCCCAAACCGTATTCAAGGTGACCGATCAAGATCTAGCCCAGCAGTTGAATCGACTTCAATATCCCGGGAGACACAAGAAGGCCGATCTACCAATCCCCGTTCATGCCTGGAGTGGCCTGGAGGTTGACACCATCGTTTGTGCGCGACAGCTCAAGTGTTTCGCTAATCTGCCAGTGGGAGTTGTTGCTACGAGACGGACAACTTTGGTAAGTAGCGGGGGAATGGTTTTACGTAGATTGGTGTAAGGAGTTGAAAGGTACAAAGCGTTTGAGATTACCCCTCAATGCGAGCTTGGTAGTCACAATGTTTGGTGATAAGGAGCAACAAGCACAGCCTCCTGCGGATACTCAGCCTCGACCACAGCCTGTCCCCGGTTTAGGTCCCATAGCTAATCAGGCAGAAGTTCATAGCTATTTACGGCGGCTTCACGTAGGATTGGGACACTGTGGGTCAGCCGAGTTTCTACAGCATCTCAGGGGTGCAGGGGCAGCGCCGTGGTTGCTCCGACAGGCTGAGCGATTTCGCTGTGCGGTGTGTGAGTCCCAAAAGCCTCCACCTTCTCACACCGTAGTGGGTTCAGCGAAGCCTCGATCATTCAACAGTATTTTGGCCATTGATACTCTGGATCTCACACTCCAGCGGGATGATGTTCAGTACCGAGTGTTTCTGCTGACTGCCGTGGATACGGCAACTTCCTTCGCAAGGGCTTTTCACCTCGAAGCCGGTGATGCGGCTACAGCTGTGGATGTTTTGGATCAGGGATGGTTTCAAGCCTATGGCTCCCCCGAAGTGATTTATACAGACCCTGATACAATATTTCGCAGTGAGCATTTCGCACAATTTCTGACACGTAACGCTGTCCTTGAACGCTTGACCGCAGCTCAATCTCCTTGGCAACATGGCCAAGTGGAACGGCTTCATAGGACCATCCGACAGCAAGCTCAACGGGTGTTCGAATCCGAACGCACGTGCAGTCCCTATCAGGCTGTTGTCCACGTTCTACAAGCTAGAAACGAGCTCATGAGGGTAGAGGGAGTGTCACCGTCTGTTTTGGTGTTTGGTAAGTTGCCTCGTGCCCCTCCTGATATGGCTGAGTCTGATGAGGACTTTCGGTGCCTGGCTGTGCGATTGCACAATGAGGACCCCCTTTATGAAGTAACTATGCAACGTCGTATGGCAGCTAGCACAGCTTGGGTGCAATCCGAGGTCAGGGACCGCGCTGCGCGAATTCAAAGTACCCGTTCCCGTCCTTACCAGGGTCCGTATTATAAAGGTCAACTGGTTCTAGTGTACCGTAGGAAACGTGGAGATGCGAGCAATCCGGGTAGACGGGGTGTATGGTTAGGTCCGGGTGAAGTTGTTGCAGTGGAAAGTACTTCGGATAAATTGGTGCCGAGGGTTGTCTACGTTACTGTTCACGGTCGCCTTTTCCTGTGTAGCCCCGAACAACTATGCCCCATTAGCCTTAAAGCCTCTTGGGTTCGTACTAAGCTGCAGGAAGCAGGCGTATCCGGACAGCAGACTTTCAAGGAAATGAAGCATGCTCGCGGCGTCGATGTCCGTAATGAAAGGCCTAGTTCAGCAGAGCTCGAAACCGAGCGTGACAAGCCTGACAAGGACCTGGTACTTGAGCAGTTGGGCCCGGAAGCCGACTATGAACCATTGCCACAGGCTCCTCGTACACCTGCTCCTGGAACACCAGGCCCTCACACACCAGCTCCTGGCACACCACTGCCAGGCACGCCTGTACCAGGCACGCCTCGTTCTGCACCTCTCCGTCCTGAACTGGTGTCAACTCAACCTATCCCACCCGCGCCTCCCGCTGATGCTTCTGCCTCTGCTCACCTTGACACCAGGCGGGGGGAGAAGCGCTCCTCAGAGCCTCGCCAGGACGTAGAGGCTGAGTCTTTGCACCGTGCGCAGCAGGGTCCAACGCCAGTTGTTAGCCAAGTTCCCCCAACAGTAACTACGGGTGAAACATCTTCTAGGCGTGTAAGGAGTAGGACACCGCCCCCTAGGGAAGGTAGTTACCTGTCTTTCGCGGACTTTGAAGGTGCAAGCTCAGATCACGTTCACGAGGGTTGGTACTCGGAATCCCAGGATCATGAATATTCAGGGTTGTCTTTGGGTTTGGAGTTTGACGTAGACGTCGATGAGATTCAGGATGAGAGTTCTATCAGGTACATTTTGCAAGAGATGTGTCTGAGTGCAGCTGCCATGAAGAAGCGGGGTGCAGAAGTAGTAGAGAAATATCTCAACGAAGAAGAGAAGGCTATGTTCCGAACTGCGAAGCATGCTGAATGGAGTCAGTGGGTTGGCAACGAGGTTGTTGAACTGATCAGCCGGAAGGGAATTGACCCAAGACGGGTTATAAGCTCTAGATGGGTTCTTACCTGGAAACGGGTAGAGGACACACCAGGAGCCCCAAAGAAACCTAAGGCTCGCCTGGTGATACGGGGATTTAAAGATCCCGATCTCGGTCAATTCTCAACCGCTTCTCCTACTTTATCCAGACAGGGTAGGCACGCAGTCCTTACCGTAGCAGCACAAAACATGTGGCGAATCTTTACCTTAGACGCCAAAACCGCATTCCTGGCGGGGGATCAAAGTGCAAGGGTTAAACCTATATATGCTGAACTCCCTAAGGATTTGATCAGAGATCAGGGGTACGACGCCAATACCATAGCTCGAATTAAGAAGGTTCCGTACGGACTTAGTGAAGCCCCCTTAGCATGGTATCGACGGCTTACCTCGGAGTTAGAGTCTGTTGGTTTTGAGCAAGTCCCTGCAGATCGCTGTGTATACGTGTTGCGCAGTAAGAGCACGCCTGGCCGTATTTTGGGAATTGTAGGAGCTCACGTAGATGACCTGGTTATTGCAGGGTGCTCCCTAGGTGAGAATCCCGAATTTGAAGAGGCCCTTAAGAAACTGACAGCACGTTTGCCTTTTGGCGAATGGAAGTATGCTGATGTCATGCCAGTCATTTATACGGGTATCACCATGAAACAGCATCCTCAAACAAGGGAGATTGTCATCGACCAGACTCAATACATTCAGAAACTTAAGGAGGTCCCCATACGTAAGTTCCCCGAAGGTCTACTGGATAAGCAGGGTCAAACTACCTTTTGGTCGCAACTCGGTGCGTTGTTGTGGGTTGCAGTCAACACTCGGCCCGACATTGCCTATGATGTTTCTCATTACGCATCCTATGGGACTAAACCTGAGAAACAGCACCTTGCAGCCCTTAATAAGATTGTGCGTACCCTTCAAACTCGTGAGCAAACCATCACCTTTTCCCGGGTCGCTAAATCATGGGATGACATGACTATGGTTGTGTTTGCAGATGCAGGGCATACGTCTAGGCCTTCACAACACTCACAAGCCGGGACAATAGTATTCTGGGCCCCAAAGGAAGTCTTGCAAGGAAAGGAGGTAAGAGCCAACATTGCTGAGTATTCTAGCACTAAGATCGACAGGGCTGTGTGGTCTTCGTATGCTAGTGAACTTCAATCAGCAACGTTGGCACTAGACTGTGCAGTAAGTGTCCTCCTGTTGTATGAACAGATCTTGTGGGGTTTAAAGGCAAAAGACGTTAAGAAGAAGTTGACAAACGGCCTGCATACCAGAGTACTTGTAACCGACAACAAGGGTTTGTACGACTCGATTCAAGTAGAAAAGCCTTCGACACGACAGGGAGTCAAAATGCAGTCCTTGGTGTACCAAATCCTGTATGACTTTGTGGTAGACTATGGTTTCAAGACATTCTGGGTAAACGGAGAGCATATGTTCGCTGACGGGCTAACCAAGCTAAGTTCCTCAGGGGGTAAGTGCGACCTAATAAGAAAGCTCATGGATGATTCCACAATCCGCATTACCTACTGTGAAACCTCAGGAAGAAAGGAGCGCTAGAGCCTAGACGGCCGGCATCCAAGGATCTCGAGTCATCAATAGATGTTTAGGGTCTTTGGTTTTGTGCCATGTTTTGGTTTTGTTATGAGAGCTCGCCTATGCTGCTCAGTGGCATTCCGAATGTTTAAAACATTGGAGTTCCCGGCACATGTTATGATAGGAGTATGGTGCCATTCGCAGTGCTGGAGCTATTGCCCGCGAAGTGGTTCTGACGGTCGCGGGGGTGTTAATGAAATTGCTGATCCAGCCAGGTGCAGTACAATACCGCCGTCACCACTTCGGTGGCTCAAGTGCGCATGAGAGTCCAGTCAGCGGTGTGACGGAAAAGCGTTCAGCTCATTTGTCTGCAAACATGCTACATATGTATTCTACCATCATGCATCCAGCATTCAGAGAGATCATCAGGGTGATGCACCTTACATGCATTCACGTAGTCTTAGTGCTGCGTACGGTTGCCTGCCAATTGACAGCATGCATGACAAAGATAACCAAAGTAGCAACAGCACTAACATCATGGTGACAGTAGCAACAGGAATAGCAGCACTAATAACAACAACTTTAGCAACAGCAACAACATTAATATCAGCAATACCCTCAATACCCTTCTTAACCAGCAAATATCAACAACGACAGCAGTAAGAGCAACAAAAGCGGTAAGAGCAACACTGACAACAACAGCCAAAAAAGTAAGTAATACGTGTCATGGCCTAGCAGCAGTTGTTTTTTGCTAGTGCAAATGCTGGCAGTATTGATCATGGTGAGCAATAATAAGAGTACTGATGGAAGTCTTATTAGCAATAAAAGAAGTGCTTTTGAGAGTAATTATCGTATTGATGGTAGTTTGGTTAACAATATCAGTACTGACAATAGCAATTGAGTGAGTCATGGTCGCAATGGTAATTGTAATGCTAATCACTAATTATAGTGACATTCAGGACAAAACTGTAACAAATGACAATGCTACCGGTGATAGTGGCAATAATGATTTTGGGACAGCAGTCGTGGCCACATTGGCCACGACAGTCATAGCAAAACAAACGCCAGCAGTGGTATCTGATCCTAACAACAAATAGTAGTTTCCAAAAAGAGGGAGACCCCAATGTGGACCTCCCCCCCCCCAAAATGCAATCCTTGTTTTAGGTACCCCCAACAAGGGGACCCCTCATTTTTGAGCAGGGCTCCCTTTGCTCCTCCAACAAGGTTAGACCGTGGGCATCCCTACCACGACCACTTCCGGTCTCGGAAGCGGAACTGGGAGCTTCGCCTACAGGGCAAGTTCAAGAAGGCGATTTTGGTGGGTTTAGGGTTTATGCTCCTTGGGATCTGGGTGGGGTTGATATTTGGTGTTTTTAGGGTTTAAGCGCCTTGGAATCGGAGAAGTTATGTTTTTGAAAGAAAGATCCAGGCTCCCAGAGGCCGACTGTACGTGGGAGCAGTGCTTCGCGACTTCAACTATGCAGCAGCCTTACATGCAGTACAGACCAGTACTTTGCTGGTAGCGATGGGGTGCGTCGGAAGTTTCCACATGTGGTGAAACATAAGGATCAACCAGTGGCATCAACGTCAATCCTCGCCATGAACACCGCAATCACGCTGGTGAAATACACATACAGGCGAGGCAGTCAAACTGATTCCGCATGCAAAAGCTGATACCCGAAAGTATTGCAGATTCCGCATTACATACATGCCGCACATCAGCGACAGCCCTAACTTGACAGTACGTTCTTAGAGGGCTAGGTGCCATAGCGACCCGCAGCTTCCAGTTTCCAGCGAGGATTTACTTCTCCTGGGGCGCTCGATGCCAGGCTTGGCGAATGGGATGGTCGCGATGACTTTGAGTGCTTTGTCTTCTCTTTTCTTGTACATGCTTACTGCAAAAAGATCTCGTGACTTGCGGTACTCTATTGCTGCTGCCTCTGCTATGGCTGCTGCTTTGACACATTAGTAGCAAGACTATTACCTTCTCTGCCACCAGCGCCACTTCTTGGACTACTTTACTGTAAGCTCTTCTGCAATTCGCTTGATCCGGGGCCCCCTCTCCACAGGAAGCGCTGCAGGCTGATGCTGAGCTCGGTCATGCCGTTTCGCCAGAACCTTGTGGAATGCAATGGCTTCTATTACAGGAGCAAATGTGCTGAGACAACTAGGAGGGAGGTCTTTCACTTTGTGAGATGTCACTTGCCGAGCTGCTTAGGGATCTTACGGTGTTCGACCAGATCATCATCACTCCGGCGAGCAGGCCAGGAAAACAGGTCAGGCTTGCAGACATTCACAGCCACAAGATTGGAAATCCAGGCCAATCCCTCCCATCTGCTCGGATTTGGATGAGCCCAGCGATGTGTATGGGTAGGGAGCTTCAGATGGCTTTGAATGCTGTCATACTTTTCATTTTGCTTTTGCATTGTACGTCGGCCTAAACCCTAAACCCTTAACCCTAAACCCTAAACCCTAAACCCCAAATCCTAAGGCTGAGCCTCATGCGGCGAGATGTAGGCACGGCTGTGTTGCGATGTGCTGAGGGAGTGCAGGAAACAGTCCCGGAGGCCTGGCCGAATACAGCCGCATGGTGCAAGAGGCTGAGAGCTCTCTGAACACGCAGGACATGGACTTCGTTGACAGCCTGCTTTGGGCCGAATTTTTTTTTACGCAGGAGGTTTTAGGACCCTACAGCTATCACATGATTTCAATCAGGTCCTCATTCTAGGGGTTGGGGCAGCGAAAATATGATTGTTTCTGCTGCCCAGGGTTTTGAGTTTCAGCTTTGGGCTTGTTGACTTGGACTTCAGTTTGCTCGGGTGGATCAAACTGCAGGTAGAGCTTCCCGACGAAAACGCTTGAATATTAGGGGTTTAGGGATTAAGGTTAAGGGCTTCGGGTTTAGCAGGACATGTCAGTGAATGTGGGTTTCCAGCAATCCGGGGCTCGACATGGACCCCAATATGCTATCGCCTTCATGATAGATACCCGGGAAATCCTAATCTATGGAACTCCCCAACCCAAAAATCCTAAACCCTAAACGCTAAACCCTGAACCCCTAATCCTAAACCGTAAACCTTGGATCCTCAACCCGCAACTGGCAGGACACTTACACCTTCAGGTTATGGGGCCCTGCCCCATTTCTTGATGTGCCGCTTTCTGAGTGCTGGGCCGGGCGCAGTTTAGCTTTAGGGTTTAGGGTTTAGGGCAGAACTGAATTTCAGAACATATAATGTAGGTGTGGATAGGGGTATACAGTGATATAAAGGGTCAAATAGGAGAGTAAGGCGTTAAGGCACAAAATGGAAGCTACTACTTGAGGTTTGGGATTTAAGGAGAAATAGAGAATTTCATGGTCAAGAAAAAGAAAAGTAAACGGAACCTTGCATTATATAGGGGTTATACAGAGATGTGTACTTGCTACTAGGGGATTTTGGTAACTCAGCCCCCAAATGAGGACATCAACAGTGGTGACACGATAGTAACAGGATCCCAATTTTGAAACATTGGGATAATCCAACTCCTCTCCTCTCCTCTAAAACCCTAAACCCCTAAACCCCTAAACCCTAAACCCCAAACCCTAACATAACGAAATGAACTGCTCAACGAGCCGAGCTTGCAGGACTTTAGAGACCGCAGAAGTAGCGGATTGGGCATGATATGATGCCACCACCCGCCCAAAATAGGAGCAATATAACCATCACTTATCTTACTAGTGTCCAAATTGTGGAAGTTTGGTTTACCCAAACTCCGATATTACCAAAGGCAAGCCCCCTACATAATCTCAGATTTCATTTCTTTTTCCATGCTGTTTTCCACTTGATTGAGACAATATCCCCCAAAAAGCTACATAACTCTACATGCTCAGGTTTAGGGGGTGTCAAGGGAGCAATATACATGATTATATAATTATAATACTTGTACATGGAGTATAGAGGGTTTAGGGGTAGAATGATGGAGATTGCTCAGGTTGAACTGGCAGCTAAAGATGGGTGCCAGGGTCAGCTTGGACCACTTCATGCAGGACTGGAAGCTATTTCTATTTCGATGACTGTTACTATGACTCTTAGTAGTACAATTGCTACTATTTTTGCGACTGCTACTGCTGTCATTACTATCATTTCTATTATTCGTATGTGTGAAGCTTCTCGTGTTTGCCAGCATCACGCACCCGGCGCAAAGGACTTTCCCATCCATGTCTGCATGTATGATCTACCTGACGGTCATGGCCAGTCGAATGGCGACATGTGCCACGGCCGCATGATTCCCATGGCCTGCTGGTTCGTAGTAGGGAGTAAGGGGATTTTAATCCCCTTACAGTCCATGTGAAATATATTACCTTATTCCCTACTATAACTCCAACATATACTGTACCATAATGTAGTAGTCTCCGTTTTCTTTTCCATTATTCCCTATATAATATATTCCCTTATTTCCTACTAAGATCCAATAAGACGAATGAAGCTTCAGCCGCATTGAGTTTTATGCTACGTGAGGCGGCATTTGGAGTCGAAGAAGCGCTACTACTTTGACTTTATGGGCTGGAGCAATGTCGCCTGCACCTCGGTTGGTGCTGTCTTGGGTGTGTCAGTTCCGACCGTGGTCAGTTTGCGCACAAATAGGTAAAGCATAATATACCATGATATACCAGAATATTCCATAATATACCATAAGATACCATAATATACCATAATATACCATAACATACCATAATATACCATAACATACACTAATATACCATAACATACCCTACTTTACTATTAGTATACGAGCATTCTTCAGGTGTCGATTGCGCCAGCAATCTTTCAGCGCTATGCCGTCACCTGAGCAGTTAGATCTTTCCCATCATTATTGCCCAGACCCCTGGGAGGATCTAAAAATTAGATCCCTATCTAAACCCATTATAACCCCTATATAATCCTTATATAATTTCCCATATGGTTCTAGGGGATCTAATTTTTAGATCCCTTTGGGGGTCTGGGTACTTGTATTCTTACTATTATTATTGCTACTACCATTATTATGATTGTTATTCATGTTATCAACAGAACGGACTGTTGTTATTATCATTGCTATTACCCCCTGCAAAGCTTGCTGTGGGCAGACACCAGCCTTCACACATTTTTTTTGTTCCTCACTGACCTGGTAGTTTCCCAAAATAAGGGGACCCTATATAGACCCCAGTATACTATAATCCTTATTATGGGGACCCTAAACAAGGTACCCCTAATTTTGGGAAACACCGACCTGCAGGTCTTCCAGAATGCTCCAGATGGGTCCGATCCTCTGTCATCAGCGGCTCCAGCGTGATATAATTTAGGTGGACCCCCCCACCCGGTAATAG